GGTCTTCTGCAAGAACAACCAGTGTTCTTAACCACTGAGCCATCTCTCCAGCCCCCTGCCTCTACCTTCTAAGTGCAGGGATTACAAGTGTGCACTACCACACCTGGTTTATGTGGTGGTGGGGATGGAACTTGGGGCTGTTTGCATATTAGGCAAGCACTTAATCAACAGAACCACATACTCAGGCCCAGAAGTTGATTTTTCTCAGAAAATTTCCAAAGCATTTTCAAGTCACTGTCTTCCAATGGCAGAGGGAAAGGAACCGAGCTCACAGATAAGAAAACTGAAGCTCAAGAGGCTTGTGCCACCTTAGCAGTGAGGCTGGGACATTCCCATTTCTAGCCTTTCCTCCCATCTGCATTTATGTGAGATGGTGGCTATATTTGCTCAGCCTTGGAAATACTTATGAGTTTTTCTCCTCCAACATTATAGCTGACAGGGCTCAGAGCACTGAAAAGAAGCAGGGGCCCTTGTAGGAAGACTTCTAGGGGGCAGGGAGGCCTTGTCACCTGTCTCTAGGGCATGGAGGTGTCCTCCACCTGGAAGCTGCATCCCAGAAGCCTCAGTCTCTGCCGGCTTAGGACACTACTGTGTCTCTGGCTGCCTTGGTTTCCTTGCAGACCCCCAGGGGCCAAAGAGCCCAAAGAAGAGACTGCACACAGGAACAAAAGGACAGAAGACCCCACTCACTGCCCTACACCACCCCAGGTACTCAGGTTGCGGCAGATCTGTGGACGGTCCTGGCACTCCAGAGCCATTCTCTCTACCTCCTGCAAACTGCTCCCTGGTCCTTCCCCACCACTCACCCCATCATGCAGGCCAGCTTGGGAGTCATACAAAATTAACCACAGGCTCCCTTTTACAACAAGCAGCATGGTGTCAAGTTCTCAGAGCCACCCCAGCCTCTTTGTCTCTCTCATCCTCCCCACTATGAGACACTCAGTGAATACTAACAGGGACCTGTCCCAAGGACCCTTCCTTCAGGGTCAGTGAGGGAAGGATGAGGGCCACAAGAGCCTTGTGTGACTCACAGCAGTGCTATGCTGGGCACAGGGAACCAGAGCTCCTTGTTTCATGGGTAATGCTGGGTGTGCTCCGTCCTGTCCCCAGCCTGCACCTCCATGCCATGCAGGGAGTTTCTTCTCTCTTACACACCCTTCTTTCCCTCTGTGAATATAGCTTAAGCCCTTGGGCACTGTATCAGGTGCTGGGGACACTGCAAGAAGTGCCACCCAGCCTCTGCTCCAGACCTGGATCCCCCAACGCTGGTCCCCCATCTTTTTCCTTTCTCTGATGGCACACACAGTTCCCTGGGCACCATCTTATCTGCTCGCCTAACTCCTTCACAGGGTCAGAGTCATGAGTGTTTTTAAAAGCTCTTAGCATGATGACAGCAAAGATGATCCACATTGCCTCCCCTGCCTCACTATGGCTTATCGACTTGAACCCTCAAGACATCTCTGTGAGGTGCTATTATTATTCCCATTTCACAGATAAGGCAACCAAGGCTCCCAGGAGATCAATAAAAAATTTTCAGTGTCTTTAGAAGATAAAGCCATTCAAGATTGAAACTCAATCATCCCAAGCTGGAAGAGTGTGGGAAGCGAGGGGTTAGCATGTGAACAGGGTGAAGGCATTGTCCAGCAGTGGGCAGGGAAAGTGACCATCAGGGCACAGAGGGTGCCCTGGTTCACAGGATATCATCAAGATCAGGCATCCAGATGGACAGCCCAGCACTAGCTACAGGAGCTGAGCCCATATCCTTTGGTGCAGAAGGTGGTAGAGTCAGACTGCTTGTGGGCTTGGACCCCACCTATCATGTGCAGAGATCTTTCTGCCTAAAGTTAGTTGGGTGACCTGGGGGCTGATCTATGTAGAGTGGGAGCAGTTTCCTGCACCAGCTCCCTGGCAGCTGCATATGAATGGCAGGATGTGTCAGGATCAGCCAGTAGGAGTCTCTGTCTGGAGCTAGCACAGCTCAGACCATGTGGCTTCTAAATTAGAGGCTGGGGTTGGGGGCTAAGCATTTCTTTATATCATAAGAAGGTCAAACAAAACAAGACAAATGCTAAGCCCAAGATGGCAGGAAGAAAAATGTTTCAGGTACCTGGCCTCACTCAGGCCTGCTCCAGCAGAGGATGCCCTGGGTGTGTTGATGTGCCCACCTGAGTGACAGGGATGGTCTCTAGCCTCATACTCCTCATATGCTTAATGGGCTAATTGCTTTTAGGTACATCTATATGGGGGTAAGCAGAGCTGGACACCAGTTAGGGATCTAAAAAGTCACACATCACCCTCTCAGGAGAACATGGCTGCTTCTTACACAATGCAAAGGATAGCAAGAGCTGGCATCACGGAGCACCTAGACTCTGGGTACTTGGTTCATCTCATTCAGTATCTACCACCCTTTGTATTCACAGGAAGTGGAGGTGTTCAGTCTTTGGACTGAATCTTAATGCTCAGAACCATCATGTGTGAGCACTCCTCTAAGTTATTCCACCTTATCCTCACCATCAGCCTATAATGCTACCACCACCATCATCCTGACTACAGAGTTAAAGAAATAGGCACAGAGAGGTTGAGTAACAGGCTTGGCATCATGGGAGAAACTTCTAGAAATCAATGTAGCAGGATCCCAGTTAATCTAATGGTGGATTTTCCTCCTCATCAGAGCTCTGTATTCTTAGATATCTCAGAGAAATTAGCAAGCCCAGAGTGGTCAGGCCAAAGGCCCAGAGGCCCAGGGCTGGCCAGGCAGTGGATAGAGCTACAGTTGCTCTTCAAGCTCTCAGAGGAAAGAACTGTTTCTCACTGAACAGCCAACTTCTTGCCATAACCCATGTCTGGAATTCTACAAGAGGAGTCTTTCTGCTCCATGCTACAGGTGATCCTGTCTCTTTTCCCCACAGTCACGCCCAAACACCTCCTCCAGGAAGCCTTCCAGACTCTCCCTGCCCACTCGCCTCATCACTCTTGGGAGTTGGCAATGCCCCTCCTGCCCCAGTTCTCAGTCTTAATTATCTTCTGTGCTTTATCATCTGTGTGGACATTCAGCTGTTGAGAGGGCTCTTTGCAGCTGGGGACTCAGTGGACATGTCTTGGGGAGTTACTTGTCAGTTGTCAAGCTTTCTTTGGTGGCAGGCACCAGGCTAGGTACACAGACAGAAGAGTTCCTGCCCTCACGTTTGTGCCTGCTTTCCTCCAGCAGTACAGAGAAGGGGCCAGCAACTGTTGGACAATGGTGCTGTCCAGTGCTGGAGTTCAGTCGTGTGGCGCTATGCCCTGAGGTCAAAAGTGGTGGTGGTGGGGTTGTTAACCTAGGGTCCATGCCTATTGGAAGGCCCCAAGCAGTGGCCTATAATTCTTTCAGATAGCTCTTTTTCTGGGGAGAGGGTCACAACCTCAGGCAGCTTCTCCTCAGAACTAAGGCCCAGTGACATTTAAAATCCTCAACTTAAGCAACATCCTGGTCCCCCATTTGAAGGCAAAGACCACTCTGGAAGCCCTGCCTCCTGGAAGGCCAACATACCAGCTGGATGGCAGGTGAACATGATTCATTGTGGCTAGAACTGATTGACTGATTGACAGAAACATGGGAGGGGCACACAGGACCTTGGAGGAGAGCTCATCCTTCTTAGGGCTTCCTTTATCCTTGCTCTCCCCATGGAACTGCACTTCTGGTCCAGCTACCTGACCAGGTGTCAACAAGGGTGGCCATAAGAAGAACCAGCCTTAGCTACTTCTTCTGGCCAGGAGGGAAGGCCACAGATACACAGGAGATGCTGGGCAGGGTGCCCATGTGTGACCATGAGCCTGCCCAGCTGGCCTCTGAGGGCCCCATGAGCTTAACAAAGCAGCCTCAACATGAATGAACTGGGATGGTGTCTAGCAGAGTCCAGCTGAGGACACAGAACTTTGGGAATAGATTTCTTCAACCTAGCTGCCCACCTACCTCCCAGTAGTGATCTCTACTTGGGAAAGTAACTATAATCCACATAGAAATAATCATGTTTGCCACTTATTGAGCACCCACTGTATGCCCAGGTCTGCACTAAGCACCATTCAGGAGGCATGCTCTGGGACAGCTGGGATGATTCAGAGGAAGAGGTCAAGGCTCAGGACAGCCCTTGCTCTAAGTCACAGGCCCTGGAAGAGTCAGGGAAGAGTTGCCTGCCCATGCCTGTAGCTTTGTGTAGGGAATGTGTCCCACAGGGTTAGAGGAGGAACTTGCAGCAGACAAGGGTAGGAATGGAACCCCAGGAGGCCTGAACTCTTTCCCCTCTTGGATGACGTTCTATCTCTGGTCCCCTCTAGAGAGGCCCCAAAAGCAGAGTGATTCTCTCTGAAAACTCCAGGCATGCTCACTTTGTACAGTTGCAAGGTAGCCCCCCTCTTACCCCTAGGTCAGAACCTACAAGGACATCTATCATCCTGCTCATCATAGCCTGTCTTCAGCTCTCTAGTCCATGCCCACTGCCCCAAGTCCCAACAATCTCTAACCAGAGTCCAGATTTGGGACACACAAGTGCCATTCAGCCTGGATATGTAACATGCTGGGACAGCTAGAATTGGCTTCCTGTCTGTAGTGCTGTTATTCCATGCCCAAGGCAGCCAGCAGGAGGGGACTCCTGAGGCTTGGGCATGGTGGACAGATGGTGTCTGGGAATCTGGACTCTCAGCTATGGCCACACTGTGGTCTGTGGGGGATGCAGGGTACTTGTTGGGCCTGGACAAAGACAAGCAGGGCATGGCTAATTTTTGAGCCCTCTCCAGCTGCCCTTCTGTTCTGTCTCAATGTTAGATGCCTCTTGCTTCTCACAGTGGTTGTCTGACCCCTGGTGACACTCAGCTTTCTTGCTATAACTCAGCTAAAGTCTGTAGTCATTGGTGTTTCAGCCTGCTTTGCAAACATCCTACTGGTAGTCTGGTAGTCTGCATGAATCACCCCCCTCCCAGGGCCAACTCCAAGTCAGCCCTGGGTTGAAACCTCCCACACCTACCTTCGACAGGTGAGGTTCTGAGGCGCCGACAGATGGCTTCAGTGTCCCCGTAGGTCTCCTTGATCTTGACCACAGCCTCGGTACCCCGCAGCTCCATGAGGGAGCGGAGCTCCTCCATGGTGCACCCGAATTCACCCCCATGGCTTGACTCATTTCTTTGGTTTTTGGAGTAAAAGTCGCTGTTTGTCATATCACCCATGTTTGCCAAAGTCCCTGCTCAGGGTGGGCTTGAGAGTCAGCACTGGACAAGAGGCTTCTGGGTGATGGCTGTGTGTAGCTATCCTCAGCACACCCTCACTGGAGGGTGGCAGCTCCAGGTGGCCAACTCCGAGTCCCAGGGGGAGGGTGTGGCAGAGGCAGTCTGGTGATGGTGGTGGTGAGCTCCAAGGGGTGTCCCCACGTGTGGGGTGAGGTCCAGGGACCAGAGTGGCTCAGGGCTGCAGACCCAGGAGTCTCCATTCAGTGGGGCCCATGCTGCTCCCTGGAGCTGGCATCTACATGGTCGGAGTGGCTCCTATGGGGACAAACACAGAATGGGTGATGAGAGTCAGACATTGACGTCCCATGGGACAGGTGCTTGGGAGGGCTGGGAACAGGTGTCTACATGCCACTCAATGAAAACATTGATTACACACCCATGTACTCTAAAACATACATCTAACTCAACATCCCTTTGCACACCAGCACACTGAAAATTCAATGGTTACCATGATATTTCAGCCCTAAGGTACAGCCTGGGAATGCCTTAGGGCATACCACAGCCCCCTCATGGCCCACTATGCCACATGATGCACCAACTTCCCACCCTGGTGTGCACATGTCCTCTGCCACACACAGCCCAAATGCCATATACACCTACTGACCTGCTCTTGGCGCCATATACACCAGCACAGGGCCCACTTCATGCCACTCTGATGGTGACACCTCTCCATGTATGTTGTCACCCAGTCTCTTCTCTAGGCATATAACTTAATATTCTTCTCTCACAGACACATGCATGCACAGCAGACCCCCATTTCTCTTTCTCTGACTGACCCTGTGTGTTTACATGTGCCCCATGTCCACGGTCTCTCTGGGTTACAACTCCCCCTGTGAATACACAGTCTCTGGGCCCCAGCACCCCGTCACCTCCCCTCACAACACTCCCTCCCCTCTCACAACCCCATCTCCAGTCACAGCCCCTACCACTCCAAACACTCAACCTGGCCCAAGGAGCGACCATGAATATTCATGAGGCTGTCCTTGAACTCAGAGCTTTGGTTCTCAGCAATAGCTGAGATTCACAGAGCCCTCACCTGGAGCCCCCATATGTCAGCACCAAGGACAACGACCAGCTCCCTCTGGAAGCCAAGAGGCTGAGGGAATTACTTCTGCCCCGCCAGGCCACCGGTTCAGGAGTGCAGTGGCTATGGGCTGCCAAGAGAGAATCCAATCCACCCAGACACCCAACACCAGTGGCCAGGCCCCAGCAAGCGTTGGGTGACAAAGGGCCCCTGCTGAGATCAGTTGAGCCTGGCATGGGGGACGAGCCCCACCCATTGGCCACAGCCAGCTGGCCATCAGAGTGGGTAGTGAAGGGGTGGGGATAAGGGGAGGAGGGAAGGCCCAAGCAGCATCCAGCCTCACTTGTCTGACCTCTCTTCTTCACAGCCCTTCCTCCACACATTTTAGAGGTGGAGGCAATCAGGTTGAAACTCAGAGAGGGAAAGTAACTCATTCAGCACCACACAGAGCAAGACTGTGGAGTCCAGAAAGGATGTCTTTTCCTCTTCCTTCCCCTGGGGAATTTCTCTTGAAGTGCTGTGTGGGGTGGACTGTGCAGACAAACACAGTTGGGAAGAAATCCATCCAGGATCTAATCCAGAGCTCTCCTGAATCCTGGCTGAAGCATACTGGCTAAGTCCCTTTATCTAAACAATAGGGTCAGTAATGGCACCATTCTCTGTCTCCAGGCTACTGCTCAGCACACTGGGAATAATGAACCACATCCAAATCCAGTGTGTTTCCACTTGGGGGATCCCCATCAGGGGTACTGCACAGGAGGTGTTCACTATCTCTCACAGATGACAGGATGGTGCACTGTGGTTTATGTACATCAGGACCAACAGGTATTGCATAGAGTACAGCATGGACATGGTGTTCTTAGGGAAGACCTGGATGCCAGAGAACCAACGTATGCATGGGGTTTCCCTCCAATGCTGCAAGAGTATTCATACCACCCCTGGAACACCCCATCCCTCCAAAACTAAAGGAACAGGTGAGGTGGAGGCTGATCACATATGAACAGAAACAATATTCCCTTTCTCCAATTTCTTTTTTTTTTTAAATTAAAGGCAGGGTCTCTTGTAGCCCCAGATTAGCCTCAACTTGCTATGTAGCTGAGGATGACCTGGAACTCCTGATCTTCCTGATTCCACCTTCCAAGTCCTGGGGTTACAGGCATGTGCCACCACACGTGGCTTTTCTCTCCTGTTTCTTAAACACATATATGTTAGGTGCCATGCTAAGACATTGGCATATAGTAACATGTGTAGGGGCCAGGGATCAGGTCAGCAACATGGTGCTTGCCTCATATGTAGGAGGCCCTGGGGTCCATCTCCAGTAACTCTCTCTCTCTCTCTCTCTCTCTCTCTCTCTCTCTCTTTATACAATATCATCTACTGGAAGGTAAATTCCAAGGAGGCAGCAGTTAGTATGTTTTGTGTGTTGCTCTGGCTAAAGAGGTATCTTAGTTAATAACTTCTGTAATGATAAACGAACGAATAAAAAGCAAACAAACACCATTTCATTTTTTGAGACAGGGTTTCATGTAGCTCAGGGTAGCCTCTAACTCCCTATGTAGTTGAAGATGACCTTGAACTCCTGCTCCTCCAGCCTCTGTCTCCTGGATACTGGCATTATAGACATGCTCCATCAAGCCCAGCTTCCTGTTAGGTCTTCATAACCCCACAAGGTGGATATTTTAATTAAGCCCATTTAATTGATAAAGAGAACAAGCCCATGAGACTGAAACCATTTGTTTAAGGTCATGAAGCAGGGGATGTCAGGGAATAGAACATCTTTTTAATCCGAGACCCTGGATTCTTGTCCACCACCCTATAGGAAGGTGCTTGAGAGAGGCCTGTTCTAGGAGTCTCTTTGGGAAGTTCTTGCATCTGAGACTCACATTGATTGCCCCTTTCCCCTGCTACAAGTGACTGCATGTCTTCAGCAGGACCCTATCTCCAGCATACACCAGCCATAGGAGGTATGGGGACCCCTCTTAGAGCACATAGGGTTAAGGAGGCCTGGGCCCCACAATTGAGGACACAGAGGCTTGTGTGTCAAGCAGAATGTTTCCTACTGCAGACTGTGTGTGTCTTGTATAATTCCAGGAAACTAGGAGAAAAAACAAATGGCCCAAACAAGATGAGGATCAAGTGAGGCAGTCACAGAGGTCAAGAGAGAAGGAAGGAAAGGAGTCATCAGCTCTTTCCGGCCAGTTCAGTGGTTCGGGTCTTTGATGTTTGGAAATGTAAGGTGGGGTGGGTCTGAGATGCTCAGGGTAGATGAATTCCCCCTTAGCTGGAGGGAGGGGTCGATTAGAAAACTTCAGAACAGGTTTTGCTTTCCAGGGACAGGAAGTAACTTGATGAGACACAGATCTTCAATTGGGAGCCTGGGAGACCTTAGTCCTCAGCCTCCAGGCAACAGTGTGGGCAGGGAATGGCTAAGGCAGGTGCATCTTTGTGACTCCTGTCCTGCCCTATACCTAGTGTTGCTGAAAGAGCACCATGGGCCTGAGCTACTCACCTCATCTCCCTGAATCCTGGTGTCAGTATCTATAACTTGTATATTATAATACCACTCTACTGGCACCTGGAAGGCGTTAACTGAGCACTTACTAGGTGCTCTTACTAGGTGCCAGGTGTCCTAGAGTCTTACAGGGACATCTATCTCAGAGATGCCATGAGGTCTGAAGAGCATGGCTCTGGAAACTACCATGTGCGGGATCAAATTTCAGTTCTGTCATCTCCCAGCAGAATGGGAAGAGGACTAAATTTGTTTTCATTATCTTACAAAAGAAGCAGGAACTCAAAGCGTCTACCTCACAGGTGTTTTGCTGTCTTGATGAGTCATTCATGTGAAATACTTAGGACCAAGTCCAGTGCCTGGGAAGCACTCAGGAAGTACTGTGACTGCTGTTACAGCCACCTCATGACAAAGGTGACTGTGATAACTCTATAGAACATATGTGGAAACCGAGGTTGATAGTGGTGGAGCTGGGATTTGAACCCAGGCAGTGTGCATCCAGTGACTCACTCACTCAGAGTGATTTGAGGCTTTGCCTCAAAGAGTTCTCACAAGGCCTATACTAAGTGACATATGGGAAGCAAAGTGCCTTGCAAACGATGAGGGGTTTTTAAACCCCAAGGCGCTGTTTGCTATCTGTCCCCTGCTACCTGGGGCATGACTTCTAGGCACTGATAATTACATCTGACAACACAGGCCAGGAGAATTGTTAGCAGCAATTATCTCTGTGATCACAATAGCAGCAATGAACTAACAGGCTGCTGGTAATATATTAAGGACTATGAGGTTAGGATGAACTGATCACTCACAATCTATCCTTCCTGATCCATATCCACCTGATCATTCACAATCTATCCTTCCTTTATTTCTCTCCTTCCCTCCATCCACCAATCCATTCATCCATTCATCCATCCACTTACCATCTATCCTTCCTTTCTTCCCTCCACTATCTTATCCATACACCCACTACCCACTCAACATCTGTCCTTACTTTATTCCTTGCTTCCCTCCATCCCTTCCTCCTTCCCTCCTTCTGTTCCTCCCTTCCTCCCTCCCTCCCTCCATCTATCCGTCCATCCATCCATCCATTCTTCTACCCATTTACCCATCCATCCATACATATAACTATTTATCCATCATCCTCTACCCATATATCAGTCCATCCATCCATCCATCCACCTATCCATTCATCCATCTATTCATCTATCCACCATTGATCAATCCATCCTTCCTTTCTTCTATTCATCCATCCATCTACATTCATCCATCCATACATCATACATCTTTCCTTCTTTTCTTCCTTTCTTCTCTCCCTCCTTCCCTCCCTCCCTCCCTCCTTCCTTTCCATCCATCCATTCATCTTCTTTTCACCCATCTATCAATCCATTAATCCATGTATCCATTCACTCACTCACCGTTCATCCACTCAATTACTGTGTATAGGAGCTTATTTGGTGTCAAGCAACAAATAACTGAGAGCTGGTCCCTGCCATCTAAGAGTGGGAGTAGGGTGATAAAGAAAACCATGGTTTCCATGACTTGTTGGGCTTGCCACCATCGGGGAGTCCTGGGTGCTGTGGTAGGGTAGGGTAGGGTAGGAAGACTTGACTAAGTCCTAGCCTGCAGGAAAAAACTTTCCCTTCATCTCTGAGTAGGAGACATCTTTCCCTGGATGTAAAGCAGGAAGCTGGACCAGGAAGAAGTAGAATCACAATTGGCTGT